TAGGCACCGCAGAGTTGAATATGACTCGAAGCAATCCTATGAGCCACCCATCTGCACCCTGTCCTATTCTGTGCCATCCTCATAATCTCTGACACACTTGAGCCCACTGCTGAAGTAACTGTGTCATGCAATCTGGTTGGGGGGCCTTCCTGTCTCTCATCACCTCTCTACCTTTCCAAGAATGATTTCCCTCTCCAAGGAATAACTTTTAATAGCAACATGCCCTAAGCATGTGAGATGAAGCTTCATTATATTTGCCTCTAAGGAGCACTGTGGCCGCACCTTCTCCAAGATATGCCTGTTTGTTTTGACTGTCCATGAGATTGTCATAATGACACATATTTATGGCACTAAAAGGTTGTTCAGTTTAAACTAATCTAATATTTTGGATACCTTGTATTTCTCTACAGCAGCTTGGCTGCTGGCCACATGGTTGTGATCTGAATTCACAAGCTCCTGCCTCTGAGGAAGATGGAGACTGCTTACATAAAGATTTATAGCCTTGGTAACCCTATAGGACAGTCCTACTGTGTTCTATAGAATCATTGTGAGCCAGACTCCACTTGATGGCAGTGTGTGAAAGAGTATATGTGTGTGTGTGTAGATGTTTCTCTAGCACTGCCTGTTTTTTCCATCTTTATTATATATTCTTTTTTTATGTTTACATTGAAGATGCTTTTTTTTTTTTTTGGTCTTGATTAAGGTCCAAGGTCTTTTACTCCTTCAAAAATGTTAAGAACCCAGAGCAGATATTCTACTCTTAATTATTTTTCAAATAATGAAAAGATTCTTAATGGAGACTTTTACTTGAAAGACTAACACAGGTAGTCCCTGACTGACTTTGGTCTTCTTCTACATTGTTGATAACTTGGTAAATTGGCTCTGAAGTCAGTCAGATAACCTTTTGCATCTGAGAGTATTCATTACCAGTGCATTTTGTTACATACATCTTTATAAATTTTGATAGACTTGTTTTGGGGGGCTTGAAACATTACATATAAATTCATAGAGATACGATAACACTGCATGGAATATTAGTAAAATATAAATGCTCATGAGGGGGAAAAAAGGTGGTCAATAGTGGAGCTTCTTGTTACTTAAGCATATTGTAAATCTGTAATTACCTGTAGCCTAAATGTTACATAGTTACGATTAAATACAGTACCTAAAAGTTTTGTGTTTTTGTGTTTGTTTGTTTGTTTGTTTTTTTAATGTGAAGTATGCTACCATCAAGGGACTCAACGGCACATAACAACATGCTACCATTCCAAATTAATTCTGCAAAGCTTTCTATTTACCTTGAGAGGCCCATCTTTGGGGGAAAAAAGATATCATAAATGGGAAAAGCAGAAAATCAGCAAAAGAGAGGAAAACCTTTAAAAAGATTGATCGACACACTGACTGTTAAAATGTACTGAAACATGACAGGGATGATCAGAAAAGCACAGGATAGGGCAAGGTTCAGATCTGTTGTTCGTTCAAGTGTCACTGTGAGTCATAGCCTACTCAATGGTTCTTGACAATATGAACTAGAATTAAATCATGTAGAACTAGACAGACATGGTGAGAAGACTCACAAGATAGAGGTCAGAGTCACACAAACTAAGAAGATAGATAATTTCAGGATGAAAGGAACCATATATGTACATTTCTTTATATAACTGTTTTCAGGATGAATTAATGAAGTTTCCACCTTTTTTTGTTTGTTTGTTTGTTTCAGATGGTCTTTTAATAGGCTTCATGAAGCCAGAACTGGGTACAAGAATTCTTTAACCACTTCAAATACAGCATCTACGGAGAATACATAGGTCTTCTAGTAAAAGAGGAAAATATAAATAAACATTTTCAAGAAGCTCTTGGAAATGTCTGAGTCTATTGCAGGCCTTTCCAGCCAGTGAATACCATGGCCTGGGCCACACCCAGCTTCCTACCCTGCTGCTCAGACCATTACAGAGTTGGGGGCAAGCCACAAATTTTTATCAGGAAAAAAGTGACTCCACTCAGTTTCCATCCAACAGGATCACAGAACCATTGAAAGCTAGAGCTTTCTATGAAGTGGTACTTGCCTACAGATTTTCATTCACACATAGGAACTGCACCAGTATTTTCATCCAGGCAAAATAATACAAGGAACAATGGTAAATGTGCACTGTAATGAATGGAAATCCAAAACCTCTGTAGTTCATTAAAATTAAAAAATGTGCACTGTGTAGTTAGTATTTAATACACTCATTACATGGTACATGGTTTCACTTAAAACCTAACATCAGCACTATACAAAGCTACCACTATTAACCCCATTTGACAAACAGTGCTTGTTGACAAGGAGTTGTGCTATACCCACAGGCACATGGATAAAATTTACCAGCCACTCTGTGAGAGAAAGATGGGCAATCTCCTCCCGTGAGATTTACCACCTCTCAAAACTCACTGAAAGGTCAGCTATGAGTCAGTTCTGACTCAAGGGTGACAATAGCACACTACTCATACTCATATTTGTGGAACCTACAGAGTTTCTGAGACTGTAAATAACACAGGAAGAAACCGTCTTTCTTCTATGGAAACCCTGGTGGATTAGAACTGCCATGGAAGCATGCATGGCTTTTTAGTTAGAAGGTTAACACCTCATAGCTCCTTAAACAGAGGTTTCAAACTCAAACTTATTAAGTGGCATTGATACTGACTCAGAGCTAACCCTCCAGTGTGTTTTCAGAGGCTATAAATTGCATCTTTTTCCCTCTGCCAAGCATCTGGTGGATTTGAACCACCAGCCTACAATATGGATTGAGGCTCAATGTCAAGAAGACAAAGATTCTCACCACTGGACCAACTGGCAGCATCAGGATGGATGGTGAAGAGATTGAGATTGTACACAGCTTTAGTTTGCTTGGCTCCATAGTCAACAGTCTTGGCACCAGCAGCCAGGAAATTAAAAGGCGCATTGCAATGGGAAAGTCTGCTGTTAGGGACCTCTCCAAAGTGCTGAAGAGCAATGGTATCTCTTTGGAGACTAAGGTGCGTCTGATACAGACCATGGACTTCGCAATCACCTGTTATGCATCAGAGAGTTGGACAATGACCAAGGAGGATAGAAGGAGAATTGATGCCTTTGAGCTGTGGTGCTGGAGAAGAGTATTGAGAATACCATGGAGTGCTAGGAAAACAAACAGATTTGTCCTGGAAAGGGTTAAACCGGGTGGCTCCTTGGAGGCAAGGATTCTGAGGCTCCGTCTAACTTATTTTGGCCTTTTTTTGGGAGAGACTGTTCCTTGGAGAGGGACATCATGCTTGGGAGGGTGGAGGGACGGCGCAGGAGAGGAAGGCCCTCTATGAGGTTGATTGATTCAGTGACTGGGATAATTGGGATGGGAGTGTTGGAGACAGTGCGATTGGCACAGGACAGAGCAGAGTTTAGGGCTGTTGTACATAGGGTCGCGATGAGTCGCAGGCGACTCGACTGCACATAACAACAACAATAACAACATCTTTAGGTTGGCAGCACAACTCATTACCTACTAGGTCAGCATAGCACACTAGATTTTTTGTTGTGTACCACCAAGTGGGAATCAACCACAGCTAAGTAGGTGTCCAGAAGCAGTTAATCTCAGGAGAGATTGCCCATCCTTCTCCCAAAGAGCAGGTGGTGGATTCCAACTGCTTGCCTTTTGTATTGCACCACAGCTTCTTACCCCTAGCCCACCAGATTCAATTTACTTGTTCCAGCCTAGACACCTAGTACCTGTTCAAACAGAGGCATATTTGGGGGAAGGAACACAGATGGCAATTAGTTTTGAATTGCTGAATGATCTCTCATTCTTGGGAGTGAAACAGTCCATGAACAAAAACTGGTCACAGATGCTCTCCCCACCCCACAGTGGCACCCACAGCATGTGTCATTCATGCTATACTGGAGGCATTCCTTGGCACATAAAGAGCAAATACAAGGTTTTTACCACCAAAGACTGATTTAAACATTAACATATTTCAAATGTGTATGTCCAAGGCAAAAATTACAAATAATGGGAAAAAATCAAAATGAGCTGTTTCAAGTTGATGAATATTGGCACGTTCACATCCCATATCCCTCTTTTTTTACATCATAGGCAGATTGTTTCATAAACATGAAATAAAATGTTATCGATCAAAACTATTTCTTCTTCTTTTGCCTCTTGGGCTTTCCTTGCTTCTTGATTCTTTGCCCAACCTCCCTTGCTTCTAGATTCTGGTAAATGTCTTTAAAAATGAATTTTAATGAAAGTTTACATAGACTTAGGGTTTCCAGTCATTGACTGTTGCATTTTTCTCCCTGCCCATCCCCCACCCCAATTCACTCTTCTCCTTGAAAAGCAAAACTCTTTCATTGTTATGCAATCCCTCCCCTCAAGTCCACTCCACTGTGCAGCCTTCATTCTGGACTCCTGTCACGACAATAATACCTAATCATATATCTCTTTTAAACAGTTCTCTCCTTCATCTGTTTCAATGCCGTATACATCATTCCTCCCCTCTGGTGAATTATCTTCAATCTTTCATGAATTCTCCGCCTGCGCTGGGAGGTCCTCTTGTCCTTTGAGTCTGTGAAATTACTCTTTGCTACCGGGCCTCCAGTTCAGTGTTTCAGTGCCAGTTTTTACTACGTTCCTGCGTGCCCAAGAACTCCAGAAACTTCACAGAGCTGAGAAATGGAAAGAAACTCTGGCCGAGGAAAGAAAGACTCTCTCACTGTTTACTAGGCCTCCAGCACCCCCCTCCGCCCTCCACTCAGCTGCGACAGGCTTCCAGGAAATGTCCTCCTTACCCCCTCCCGGGCTGGGGGCTGGGAGCGGGCGGGCGGGCCGGCGGGCCCCTCCGCCCCCACAGCGGGCTGTTCCTCCAGCGCTTGTCCTGGCGCCGCTGCTGCGCAGTCCACCGCTCGCTGCGCCCAGATCCTCAGCCTCGCCGCACGCCGCGCGCTCGAGTCCCGCTGCGCTGCTGTCCCGCGCGCCTCCTCCCACTTCACCATGAAGGTTACGGGTGGGCGCTGCGCGGCGCTGCTGGCGTGGCTCGCCTTCGTGCTTTGCGTCTCAGAGGCAAACTGTGAGTAATAAACAACATCTTTTCTTCTCCTCTTCCTCAGTAGTGCCAACTGCACTACGTGCTCTGGTGGGTCAGATTGTCTTTTCTTGGACTGTAGCCACCTGGGAAGTTTCCTGTAAATCGTACAGCCACTCTGCTGATGGAAGCATTTGTGGTTCCAGAGAACAGTAATGGTGGGGCAGGGTCAGTATTTGCCCTTTCTGGGAATCATATTCCCTACAGGATAGATGCAACAAAATGTGTGACATTAGTATCAATGAAAAACTTAGAAAACATACCCTGAATATTTATATATTTAGATATTTAAGTCTCCCAAATACTTAAAGTCCCCACTCAGAGGTCAAAGATGAGCACATTCCAGTAGTGAGTGAGAGGCAACTCGCTGTGTACTGGTGACATCCACGAACAGCAACCCTTCCTGCAACCTCTCTTTTCCAGTTTATGGACTTTGAGCCTGGTTTGCGTGTCTCGCATTGACAGACTGTTTTAGGATAACTGCAGGTTTGCATGTTGGTGTTGTGTACTGCCGAGTAGACAAATGCCATTTTGTAACCTTGAAATCAACGAAACTGTTACACATTTCGTGGATCATTTTATACTGAGATTTTTTGACAGTGAGTGCCAGTCATCCTAGGTCTGACATGAATTCTTTGTACTTCGTAATTCCAGTTCTTTAGGTTCCTCTGTCAGAGTTCAAGAGATGATCTTGAGTTCTTCTGAAAACTATGTAAGGAATATCAAGGCATGTGAGGCATGTTTGCTGTTAGTTATTTTCTTTGATAAATTTTAAGTAGGCAAGCGACTTAACAGCACACAACAACAATTGATTAAAAACTCTTGTGCTGTTTTATTTTCAGGACTTGTCATAGGAAAGAGCCCCTCTAATAAATGACAAAGAATTCTTAGGCTTTCTAAGTTACAAAGGAAGCTTTTCACATATTACAGGAGTTTAAATAGGAATTTACCAACATTCTATTGGTTTTCGTTATTATTGTTTTAATCATGATCAGGATGAAGAACTATTTTTAAATTCTCACTTAAGAATAAAGGATCATTTTTTTTTTAATGTTTGTTAAAGAGCTACAATAGCAGAACTTTGTTATTCACATCCTTATCATTATGTAAGAAACCCTGCGTTACATATTGGGCTGCTTACTGAAAGGTGAGCATTTCAGATTCCACCAGCTGTTTCTCAGGAGAAAGTTGGACAGAAAGATGGAGCAAGTAAAAATAGATAAGATCATAAACCCAACTCAAAGGCAATAAGATTTTTATTTATGTCTATCATGATGTGGATTGTATGCACTGACATTATATATAAGTTACTAGGTCTATCAATTACTTGCCGAATAACCAGTATTTTGAAGAGGAGAAAGAAGCATAAAAAGCAACTTCCACACTTACAGCTTGCCATCACTGGGATTTGTTAATACCTTTCTTTTTGTACATACTCTTACTGAATCTAGGCAAAGCTAAAAAGAGTATGTATATGTAATGAGTGTGAGAGTGAGCTAGCAAAGATTTTGCACAGGTACTTAAAACATATAGAGTTATACTTTATGTTGTTGTTGCTGTGTACCATCGAGTTGGAACTGACCCATAGCTGACCCTCCAGCAAGGAAGCAGTAATCACAAGGGAGGAGATTGCCCATCCTTCTTCCACAGAGCAGCTGGTGGAATCTAACCCTATGCCTTTGGGATTTCAGGCCACCAGAGTTCCCTATACTTTATATAAATGTTGTTATTGTTATGTACTGTCGAGTTGGAATGGACTTCTAACTGACCCTCCAGTGGGTTTTCAGAGGCTGTAAATTGCAGAGAATGTTACTCAATTTTTAACCCCCTGAAGCATCTCGTGGTTTCAAAGCACTTGCTTTTGAGCTGGTAGTGCAACTCCTTACCACCAGGTCACTATTGGTAAGGAAAAGAAGTTTACATTATATAATAAGAGTCTTGTTAAGTTCCATTAAGTCAGCTCTGACTTGCAGTGACTCTAATGATGAGATCTGAACCTCTGTCCAGCACCACCCTCAAGATCTCTGATCTGCTTGAGCACATTGTTACAGTCATTATGAATAGAAGACTTAACATCTTCATTAAAAAAAAAAGTGACAATTTAGCGGAATTCCAAATAGTCTATGCTTAACTGAGGAAGAAACTGAAATATAAATTCGGTGTTTTTGACTCTTAGATTTGAAATTTTAAGTTGAACTTGAAGTATTTGATTGATAATCCATTGTTTTATCCATAGAAGCACAGTTCCTATACAAAGAAAATATGTCATAGATTTTTAGTTTTAAGAGAAATGTTAGAAATCATCTAGTTCAACTTCATTTACTAATTAAGAACTAATTAGTTAGCTGACTTTCCAAAGTTGTATGAAGAATTTACATATAAAATATTTTTCTAAGCTCTTGTGGCCTCGTGGTAAGAAGCTGCATTGCAGTCCTGAAGGCACGTGATTCAAATCTACTAAATGCTCCCTGGAAGAAAGATGGGCAGTCTCTTCCCATGTAATTAACAGCCTCTGAAAACCTTTTGGAGGGTTAGCTAGGTGTCAGTTCCAACTCAAAGATACATAATAACATTTTAACTTTTAATATATTATCAGTTCATATGTAATGATGTGATTATTGCTGCCAACCTAAGGATGGTACCTCTCTGGCAGTTTGAATCCACCAGTGGCCTCACAGGCGATGGAAAGTCTCATCCCTAGTTACTCGTCGTTGTTGTTATGTGCCGTCGAGTCGCTTGCGACTCATAGTGACCATATGTACAACAGCCCTAAACCCTGCTGTATTCTGTGCGAATCGCACTGCCTCCGACACACCCATCCTGATTCCCCAGTCACTGAATCAATCAATCCACCTCATAGAGGGTCTTCCCCTCCTGCACTGTCCCTCTACCCTCCCAAGCATGATGTCCCTCTCCAAGGACCGGTACTTCCTTACAATGTGTCCAAAGTATGTCAGACGAAGCCTGGTGGAGGATTAGCTGTGTGTCAGATCCTACCTAAAAGCAATGAAGTGAGTTATTAGAATATATACATTATACAAAGGAAACCTGGTGATATTAAACATTTCATGGGAGAGAAGAGCTGTTGATTTGTTGCCCAAAAAAATGACAGCTTAGGAAGCTCTGCAGACAGTAGTCCTACCTACTGTATCTGTCTGAGTTAGAATCAACCCAAGATCATTCAACAACAATGTACATATATATTTTAAAAACATCTTGATATATATTTCTTGTTATTTCGCACAAAATGTTGTTGTTAGGGTCTGTCAATTACGACTCATAACAACTCTATGAACAGTAGGTTTCAAGTCTGTCTTATCTTATGCCATCCTCATCATCTCTGACACAGTCACAAAATAGCAAGGGGAAAAGGAAAGTCAGAAAAAGGAGATAACCCCTTTTGGCTGTTCTAATTTGGCCTTATCTAGACTTCCACTTCTGGCTAGTTGTAGTGTACACAGGACACGACTGCCTCATATTTTGCTTCTATTATTATACTCTCTTCTTTCTTTTTGTATCTATGTCACTATGCATCTTCATGATCCTTTAAAATCTATTTCCTTCAAGTTTAAAATGTTGCACTGATGAGATTTTATCAAGGTTAAGTTAGAATTGGTGTTATTGTTAAAAGTGTTATAGATTAAAAAAAGAAAAAAATAATAAAAATATATTATTTTTTTAAAAAAGGAGCTCTGGTGGCCTAGTGGCAAGAAGCTGCACTGCAATTCCAGAGATATGTGGTTCAAATCCACCAGATGCTGTGCTGGAGAAGGAGGGACAATCTCTTCCTGTACCAGTCAGAAATGATTTGACGGTACACACACATACACACACACACACACACACACACACACACACACTAATAAAATAATAATGTGTTAGGGATTACTTCCTTTATACAACAATAAATGTGTGCATTATTCTTTTACCGTTAATCCTATGTTAAGAAATACAGTAGAGCTTTCTTCTAACAATTGATTTCTGTACTGAATAATTTATTTGGTTACTAACCAAAAGGTCATCAACTTAAATCCATCAGACATTCAATGGGCGAAAAATGCGCAGTGTTTTTTATAAATATGTACAACCTTGGAAAACCGATAGAGGGCCACTCAACGTCAGTTGGGTAGTGTTAGAGAACCACCCAACAGCAGTGGGTTCAGATGGTTTTGTAATTTATTTATGACTTAATACTCTATATAAAATTTTTTCAAATTAATGAAACCTAAAGTGATAAAGGGCAAGGATTAAAGGCTTAGGTGTACTTGAGTTAAGCCATTGTCTTTTCCGTTACTCCTTATATTTCTTTAAGTTGGGCAGTGAATGAGGATGACAGAAGAAGAATCAATGCCTTTGCATTGTGGTGTTGGAAAAGAGTACCAGATATCCCATGTATTACCAATAGAACAAACATATCTGCTTCAGAGAAAATGTGAACAGGGTGCTCCTTAGAGGGATGGTAGAGACTTCTCATGTGCTTCGAGTATGGTCTCAAGGGAGGCCAACCTTTGGAAAAGAATATCATGTTGCGTTAAGTTGAGGGTCAGAGAAAGAGGAAGACAAGGTGGATTGACACAGTGACTGGAACAGTGGGCTGGAGTTTATAAAAGATAGTGACAACGGTGCATAGCAGGTCAGGGTTCACATTTGTTCCTAAGATTGCTGTGTGTCATAGTTGACTTGATGGTGCCTAACAATGACAGTAAAGACAGGGAGGACCTCTGGTGTCCTAGGGTGTAAGGAGTCGCATTACCAACTGAGAGCAGAGGATTTGAATCCACCAGCTAGCTGCTCTGTGGGAGAAAGATAGGCAGCCTCCTCTCTGAAAACTTGTCGGAGGTTCAGCTTTGTTTTTGTTCTAACTCTGCAGAACATAACAACAACAAAGCCAGGGAGAGTTTCTCAAAAAGAAATTAGAGTTAACTGGTGGACACCAACCATTGAATCTGCAAATAACTTCTGACTGGAGAGACAAACTGCTCATA